TAAAAGACGGCAGGCTAAACAGGCAAACAGACGTCAGGCTAAACAGGCTAAAAGATGGCAGGCTAAACAGGCTAACAGACGCAGGCTAAACAGGCTAAGAGACGTCAGGCTAAACAGGCTAAAAGAAGGCAGGCTAAACAAGCTAAAAGATGTCAGGCTAAACAGGCTAAAAGACGGCAGACTAAACAGGCTAAAAGACGGCAGACTAAACAGGCTAAAAGAAGGCAGGCTAACAGGCTAAACAGCAAACAGACTAAACAGGCTAAAAGACGGCAGGCTAAACAGGCTAAAAGACGGCAGGCTAAACAGGCTAAAAGACATCAGGCTAAACAGGCTAAAAGACGTCAGACTAAACAGGCTAAAAGAAGTCAGGCTAAACAGGCTAAAAGATGTCAGGCTAAACAGGCTAAAAGACGGCAGACTAAACAGGCTAAACGACGGCAGGCTAAACAGGCTAAAAGACGGCAGACTAAACAGGCTAAAAGAAGGCAGGCTAAACAGGCTAAACAGGCAAACAGACTAAACAGGCTAAAAGACGGCAGGCTAAACAGGCTAACATACGTCAGGCTAAACAGGCTAAAAGACGGCAGGCTAAACAGGCTAACAGACGGCAGGCTAAACAGGCTAAAAGACGTCAGGCTAAACAGGCTAAAAGACGGCAGACTAAACAGGCTTAAAGAAGTCAGGCTAAACAGGCTAAAAGACGTCAGGCTAAACAGGCTAAAAGACGGCAGACTAAACAGGCTAAACGACGGCAGGCTAAACAGGCTAAAAGACGGCAGACTAAACAGGCTAAAAGAAGGCAGGCTAAACAGGCTAAACAGGCAAACAGACTAAACAGGCTAAAAGACGGCAGGCTAAACAGGCTAACATACGTCAGGCTAAACAGGCTAAAAGACGGCAGGCTAAACAGGCTAACAGACGGCAGGCTAAACAGGCTAAAAGACGTCAGGCTAAACAGGCTAAAAGACGGCAGACTAAACAGGCTAAAGATGGCAGGCTAAACAGGCTAAAAGACGTCAGGCTAAACAGGCTAAAAGACGGCAGACTAAACAGGCTTAAAGACGGCAGGCTAAACAGGCAAAAAGAAGGCAGACTAAACAGGCTAAAAGACATCAGGCTAAACAGCCTAAAAGACAGCTAGGCTAAACAGGCTAAAAGACATCAGGCTAAACAGGCTAGCAGACTCAACATGCTAAAAGATGGCAGACTAAACAGGCTAAAAGATGGCAGACTAAACAGGCTAAAAGACGGCAGGCTAAACAGGCAAACAGACGTCAGGCTAAACAGGCTAAAAGATGGCAGGCTAAACAGGCTAACAGACGGCAGGCTAAACAGGCTAACAGACGTCAGGCTAAACAGGCTAAAAGAGGCAGGCTAAACAAGCTAAAAGACGTCAGGCTAAACAGGCTAAAAGACGGCAGACTAAACAGGCTAAAAGACGGCAGACTAAACAGGCTAAAAGAAGGCAGGCTAAACAGGCTAAACAGGCAAACAGACTAAACAGGCTAAAAGACGGCAGGCTAAACAGGCTAACAGAAGTCAGGCTAAACAGGCTAAAAGACGGCAGGCTAAACAGGCTAACAGACGGCAGGCTAAACAGGCTAAAAGACGTCAGGCTAAACAGGCTAAAAGACGGCAGACTAAACAGGCTTAAAGATGGCAGGCTAAACAGGCTAAAAGACGTCAGGCTAAACAGGCTAAAAGACGGCAGACTAAACAGGCTTAAAGATGGCAGGCTAAACAGGCTAAAAGACGTCAGGCTAAACAGGCTAAAAGATGTCAGGCTAAACAGGCTAAAAGAAGGCAGGCTAAACAGGCTAAAAGATGTCAGACTAAACAGGCTAAAAGACGTCAGGCTAAACAGGCTGAAAGACAGCCAGGCTAAACAGGCTAAAAGACGGCAGGCTAAACAGGCTAAAAGACGGCAGTCTAAACAGGCTAAAAGACGGCAGACTAAACAGGCTAAAAGAAGTCAGGCTAAACAGGCTAAAAGACGTCAGGCTAAACAGGCTGAAAGACAGCCAGGCTAAACAGGCTAAAAGACGTCAGGCTAAACAGGCTAAAAGACGGCAGGCTAAACAGGCTAAAAGACGGCAGACTAAACAGGCTAAAAGATGGCAGGCTAAACAGGCTAAAAGACGTCAGGCTAAACAGGCTGAAAGACAGCCAGGCTAAACAGGCTAAAAGACGGCAGGCTAAACAGGCTAAAAGATGGCAGACTAAACAGGCTAAAAGATAACAGACTAAACAAGCTAAAAGACGTCAGGCTAAACAGGCTAAAAGACGTCAGGCTAAACAGGCTAAAAGACATCAGGCTAAACAGGCTAAAAGACGTCAGACTAAACAGGCTAAAAGACGGCAGGCTAAACAGGCTAAAATACGTCAGACTAAACAGGTTAAAAGACGGCAGGCTAAACAGGCTAAAAGACGGCAGACTAAACCGGCTAAAAGACGGCAGGCTAAACAGGCTAAAAGACAGCTAGGCTAAACAGGCTAAAAGACGTCAGGCTAAACAGACTAAAAGACGTCAGGCTAAACAGGCTAAAAGACGGCAGACTAAACAGGCTAAAAGACGTCAGGCTAAACAAGCTAAAAGACGTCAGGCTAAACAGGCTAAAAGAAGGCAGACTAAACAGGCTAAAAGACATCAGGCTAAACAGGCTAAAAGACATCAGGCTAAACAGGCTAGCAGACTAAACATGCTAAAAGATGGCAGACTAAACAGGCAAAAAGACGGCAGGCTAAACAGGCTAAAAGACATCAGGCTAAACAGGCTAAAAGAGGCAGGCTAAACAGGCTAAAAGATAACAGACTAAACAGGCTAAAAGACGGCAGGCTAAACAGGCTAACAGACGTCAGGCTAAACAGGCTAAAAGACATCAGGCTAAACAGGCTAAAAGAAGGCAGGCTAAACAGGCTAAAAGACGTCAGGCTAAACAGGCTAAAAGAAGGCAGGCTAAACAGGCTAAAAGAAGGCAGGCTAAACAGGCTAAAAGATAGCAGGCTAAACAGGCTAACAGACGTCAGGCTAAACAGGCTAACAGACGGCAGGCTAAACAAGCTAAAAGAAGGCAGGCTAAACAGGCTAAAAGACGTCAGGCTAAACAGGCTAAAAGACATCAGGCTAAACAGGCTAAAGAGGCAGGCTAAACAGGCTAAAAGACGTCAGGCTAAACAGGCTAAAAGAAGGCAGGCTAAACAGGCTAAAAGAAGGCAGGCTAAACAGGCTAAAAGATTGCAGGCTAAACAGGCTAACAGACGTCAGGCTAAACAGGCTAACAGACGTCAGGCTAAACAGGCTAAAAGACATCAGGCTAAACAGGCTAAAAAGGCAGGCTAAACAGGCTAAAAGACGTCAGGCTAAACAGGCTAAAAGAAGGCAGGCTAAACAGGCTAAAAGAAGGCAGGCTAAACAGGCTAAAAGATAGCAGGCTAAACAGGCTAACAGACGTCAGGCTAAACAGGCTAACAGACGGCAGGCTAAACAAGCTAAAAGAAGGCAGGCTAAACAGGCTAAAAGACGTCAGGCTAAACAGGCTAAAAGACATCAGGCTAAACAGGCTAAAAGAAGGCAGGCTAAACAGGCTAAAAGACGTCAGGCTAAACAGGCTAAAAGAAGGCAGGCTAAACAGGCTAAAAGAAGGCAGGCTAAACAGGCTAAAAGATTGCAGGCTAAACAGGCTAACAGACGTCAGGCTAAACAGGCTAACAGACGTCAGGCTAAACAGGCTAAAAGACGGTATGTTGTTTTTTCAGTTCCCCTGACATGATGTGTGTTTATTTATAACTTAATAACTAAATCAAACATATAAATGTAAATATATAAATGTGAATGTCAAGCATACTGAATTGCTTTTGTGTATGAAATGTGCTAAACAAACAAACATGCCTTACTTTAAGTAGCATTAAACCAGTACTGAATCTCCATCTTTCCATGCAGTAAGTTATGAGGAAGTGAGTAATGTGTGGAATTCTCTCCGAGAGGAAGTGTACTTTGGTCAACAGCGTTCTGGCTGGCAGGGCTACAGTTGACTTCCACACCCAAACAATTCAATAAATATATGCCATTTATCAAATTGTTCACTAATAAATCTTTTATGTAAACAATTTTCAGTGCATCCATATAAAATTCATTTTAATTTCTTTTTGCCTGCAGAAGTCTAAAAATGTCAGGTGCTGCAACTGTCCAACTATATGTGTTGATTAAGTTAATTATCAAAAATTGGTAATTTAGTTGTAAAATTCTAAATAAAATAATCTGGCATAATTTTGTGTTTGAAAACATGAAAAAAAAACAAAAGAACATGTTGCAAAATAAGGCAACTTTAAAAGCGCTCGACTCACTGAAAACTTTTGTCCACAATTTCTTTTTTCCTCAAATGTCAGGTGGCTCAACAAGAAACAAAGGACTTTTATTTTGACGTTTTTACAACAGAGGGTTGAAAAGAAGACCCCAAGTGATCTTCCTGGTGCAATGCCAAGGTCATAAATTTATTAAAAATGTGATGTTTGAGTTCATTTGGGTTCAGACCAAATGAACTTGGGTTCTGACCTCAGGAGAACCATGAAAATGTGGAATTATTATAATAAAGTTTATTTATTTGAAAAATGTGAGTATAAACTCAAGTTGAAGGACAAAGGTTTGTACGGGTGTCTAAGTAGATCCTGTTTAATTTGAAATTAGTCTGAAAAGTCAGGCGGCTCAACCAGTCAGTCAGATGGAGCAACCAGACCAGCACAGTTTAATAACTGAAACAGGAAATTAAAATATTTGATAACAATCATTACATTTAAGAAAGAAAATGCTCACAGATGTTAATGCAGATATAAAAATGCGCATCATGTCCTTTTAAATAAGATTGTAATTTTTGAATTACACTTTAGACTTTTAAGGGTTAACCAATACATTATGGGATTGGAGTATGTGATTGATTGATTGATTGATTGATTGATTGATTGATTGGAATGTGTTGTGTTTGGATCAGAGACACACTCACAAGTCCGCTAGCACCATGTAGTCCTGCAGCGTGCGGGCAAAGTGCATCTGGACGAGCGTGTCGGTGTGAGTGAGCGCCTGGTGCCCGCCGGCGCAGAACAGTGCCACGCCCGCATAACACAGCAGCGTGGCAGCCAGGCTGGCATAGGGCACGGCGCCAAGGCAACGCACACAGCAGTCATAGCAACCTGTGGGCGAGTAACAGATCAACACCCACACCGCACACACCGCACACACTATACACACACACATCTGGATGATCAGCGCTACTTTACCAGCTACACGCTAACTACTGCCTATGTGCTATGCTACACATACACATTTAAACTGTATCATACGTTTTAACCCATAACCTGACCCCACAGAGCATTCGTGCTAAGCTAATTAAAAATACTATTAAGCAATATTTATTGAATTTAAGACTCATTACAAACCTAAATATTTTTAAACCTGAAGCAAAGTCATACTCACACTAACACTTTCAGTAAACAAACATGCTAACACATTCATAAACAAGTAAACAAACTTAAACAAACATGTTTAGTTAGTTGGTCAAAAACATGTTTTTGCACGTCAAAAACAAATTTCAATTTTGCATTATTTGTAACTGAATCAGTTAGTAAAAAAGAGCAAAGCATCAGCCAATCACAGCCTAACACAGCTCAGAACAGCCAATCAAGAACACAATTCTATCATCAAACATCAGCACCAAAAATAAAGCAGTCTAAGTTCAAACTTCTGCACTCAGGTGCAAACAAACCAAAGCGAAACCAGCATCCGACAGCAAGCACAGCGATAGCATCCAGAAAGACTCCAAATCCCAGAATGCCGTGTGCGTAAGTAGGTCAGTGCGAGAGAGCTGCTGATGCTGCTGGTGTTAAGCTAGCAGAGGCCAATGCTGCACCTAGAGCTTTACACAGCCACGGCTGCTTCACTGGAAACATCTGCTGCAATGATGCGGGGTCCAAGCACTGGAGAAACTTCTAGAGTCAGCTCGGCTGGGGATCTAGAGGGCTGGATCTGGAGTATCGCTCTCTAAAAGAGAGGTATCTTTGGGGGGCCAAAGAGATTCTTGAAAAAATATCAAGAAAATAAAATTTTAAGTCACACAATTTCTAGAAAAAAAAACATCTGGTTGAAAACACTCTAGAAAAGCAGTAATTTCCAGTTGAAAAAAATCTAGAAAAAAAGAACACCCTCCAGAGAAGAGATCGTTTCAGGTTGGGTCAAATGTTTTGGACTGAAGAAAAACTAGAAAAGTTGCGGTTTCAGGAGGACTGTTCTCCTTAAAAACGCTGACGCTGAAAAACGTGAAAGTGTCCGAGAGCCTAAAGGTGCTGTTCCACCTCAAGGAGAAAAAAAACACACTCTTTACTTCTGAAATCTCGCCCACTCACTCATCACTCAGCTCTACACCTCCCTCTCCATCCCTCTCTCCCTCGCTCCCTCTCTCCCCCCCAACCACCCCTTGGGCTGTGTCTATTTCTTTCTTGTGGACAGTAAAAAGCCTCAGTGTGTGATCTACAATGGCTTTTGTTTCAGCTGCAGATACAAAGGCAGCCAGTGTAGCTCCTCAAACAAAACCACCAAGAACAGCACTACACCCTCCACCCCCACCCCAACCCCCACTCACACATACACACGGATACGTCAGCGCCTCAGCACAGCTCACACTGGCACCAGCAGGTCAGGCGGGGTGGGGTCAAAATAGGGTCAAGGTCACAGCAGGACTTACCACTAATGTCATCATGTCATTCATTTAATTTACAGTAAAATCAGCCATTGAGTCAAAGTCTTTCATTTTTCAGGAGATGTTTGTGAGGAGATTAGATATAAAATAATCCAAATGCAAAAGGAAGCAGAAAAATTAAGAAAAAATAACTGACGTTTCCAAAACTGGAGTTTAAAACTGATTAAAAACACCAGAGAAAATGTGTCTCCTAACAACCACCTGGAAGAGCTGGTCGACCCCAAAACTGCCCCTATCAGATAAACAGCACTGAAAGCTTTCATCTCTGAGAGAGAGGAGAAAATCAAGCTGATCAGATCTGAAAACATCCACAGGTGTTTCTGTCCATCCTTCCACTGTGAGAAGACGACTCAGCGCTGTGGGTCTGAAAGGATGTGTAGCTGTCAAGAAGAACCTCACTGAGAAAAGGAGACGGACACATCAAACAAAGAAGCTGAACGATGGACTGACCACCCCAGAGTCCAGACCTCAACACCACTGAATGTGTTTGATTACTTCAGAAAATGATCAACCAGCTTCTAAGACTGAACTTTGGAGGCGTGTCTGCAGATTCTTTGAGGAACTGAAAGTGAGTCTCCTGAACAGAATGGAAGCTGGAATAAAGGGTGACTCACTGACTCACACAGCTGAGATCAGATTTAGCCCTTTTCTTTCAAAACGTGTGATTCTGCTAAATAACGAACGTCTCATCCTGAAAGTCTGTTTGACTAGAAATTAAGTCAAAATCTCACCATGATTTTCTGCTGTTTTTCTCTTTTCTCTTTCTCCCTCTCTCTGTTTATTTACCCCTTTTCTCTCTCTATTTCTGAAGAATTCTTTCTCTCTTTCTACTTTTTATTCCTTTCATTCACTCTTTATTTCTCCCTTTCTCTATTTGTATTTCTTTTTCTCCTTTTTGTCTGTTTCAGTTTTTCTTTCTCTCTGTTTTTTTTTCTTATATTTCTTTAATCTCTGTCTATCTCTCTCTCTCTCTCTCTCTCTCTCTCTCTCTCTCTCTACTGAAGGCAGACGCAGCTGCAGGTTTGTGGACTGTAATGTTAACTTGTGCTCATTAGTTGAAAGTCAGTGATTTACTGTCTTCATTTCTGTACAAACAGAATAAATAAACTGCTCCTGCAGGACAACTGGAGCCCCCCATGAAAGGATCCTATGAAACAGAGCATTTCATACGAGAACAGAATGTTCCACGTCAGGACAGTTCCTTAGAATGGAACCCACTGATCTCTGAGCTCTAATCTCATCCACAGCACAGAATTTCCAAACCACATTAATGATTAACACTCAAATATTAAACATCTCGCACATTCCAGCAGCAGCAGCAGCCGAGCTCTACATATCAATGCAGATCTATGCAAATGATATGTAAATATAGCCTGAGCAGCTGCTACTGCTGATCAGAGAAAAGGTGAGAGAGGGAGAACGAGAGAGCAAGAACAAGAGAGGAAGAGCGAGAGAGGGAGAACGAGAGAGGGAGGAGCGAAGAGTGGAACTGATGTGACCCTGAGCAGGAGCTTCTGAGGTGAAGAGCCCTCAAACATCTACACAACACCGCTAACAAACACATACATATCTACCCAACACCACTCACAAAACACACACCCATACACACACAAAAACACAATCACTCACACACACACACTCTCTCTCACACACACACACACACACACACACACATACACACTCACTCACACACTCACACACACACACACACACACACACACATACACACACATACACACTCACTCACACACACACACACACACACACACACTCACACGCTCACTCACTCACACACACACACATTCACACACACACTCACTCACACACACACACACACACACACACACTCACTCACACACACACACTCGCACACACTAACAAACATGCATTCTACCCAACACCACTAACGAACAGACACATCTACCCAACACCACTAAAAAACACATACACCTCTACTCAACACCACTAACAAATACACGTCTACCCAACACCACTAACAAACAAATACCTGTCTAAACAACACTAATAACAAACACATACATGTCTACCCAACACAGCTAACAAACGCATATACGTCTACCCAACACCGCTAACGAACACAGACACATCTACCCAACACCACTAAAAAACACATACACGTCTAGTCAACACCACTAACAAATACACATCTACCCCACACCAGTAACAAACACATACACGTCTACCCAAAACACTAACAAACACATAAATGTCTAAACAACACGGCTAACAAACACATACGTCTACCCAACACCACTAACAAACACATACATGTCCAAACAACACCACTAAAAACACAAACATGTCTACACAACACCACTAACAAACACATACACATCTACTCAACACCGCTAACAAACATGTACACATCTACACCAGAGGACCAGAGGAAGATGGGTCCCCGCATGTGAGCCTTGGTTCCTCCCAAGGTTTCTTCCTCAGCTCTGAGGGAGTTTTTCCTGGCTTGCTCACTTGGAGGATTTACATTTCATGTTAAAACTTTGTGTTTAGTGGATTTCTGTGAAGCTGCTTTGTGACAACATCAGTTGTAAAAAGCGCTATACAAATAAATTTGACTTGACTTGACTACACAACACCACTAACAAAGACAGACACATCTACCCAACACCGCTAAAAACACATACACGTCTACCCAACACCGTTAACAAACACATACAAGTGTACTCAACATCCCTAACAAACACATACACATCTACTCAACATGCCTAACAAACACATACATGCCTGCCCAACACCGCTAACAAACACATACATGTCTACTCAACACCGCTAACAAACATATAGACATATACTCAACACCCCTAACAAACACAGACACATCTTCTCAACACCTCTAACAAATAAATACATGTCTACTCACCACCCATAACAAATATATACATGTCTACCCAACACTAATAGCAAACACATACACATCTACCCAACAACGCTAATGAACACAAACACATCTACTCAACACCCTAACAAACACATACACATCTAATCAACACCCCTATCAAACAAATACATGTCTATTCAACACCTCTAACAAACACATACACATCAACCAAACACCCGCAACAAACACATACACATCTACTTAACATCTCTAATAAACAAATACACGTCTACTCAACACCACTGACAAACACATACACATCTACTCAATACACCTAACAAACACATACACATCTGCCCAACCCCACTAACAACCTTATGCACCTCTATCCAACACCAGTAACACATACACACCTACTCAACACCTTTAATAAATACATACATCTCTACTCAACACCACAACATACAAATATATGTCTACCCAACACCACTAACAAACACACACACTTCAATTCAACCCCCCTAAAAAACACACTTCAACTCAACACCACTAAAAACACATACATATCAATTCAATACCAATAGCAAAGACATACACATCTACCCAACAAACCTACCAAAGATATACATGTGTACCCAATACCCTTAACAGTGACATACATGTGTAATCAACACCCCTCATAAACACATCTACCTAACACCCACCAAACATGTACACGTCATTGCAACACCTTTAATAAACACATACACATCTACTCAACACCCCTAACAAACACATACATGTCTATCGAACAACACTGACAAACACATACACGTCTACCCAACACCCCTAACAAACACATACATATCTACTCAACACCCTAACACATACACGTCTACCCAACACCCCTAACAAACATATACACTTCAACTCAACACTGCTAAAAAACACACTCATCTACTCAACAGTCCTATCAAAAACATACACATCAAGTCAACACCCCTAACAAACACATACATGTCTACCAAACACCCCAAACAAACACATACGTGTCCTGAACACCCCTAACAAACACATAAATGTCTACTCAACACCCCTAACACAAACATGTCTACCCAACACCCCTAAGAAACACATAGACTTCAACTCACCACCACTGAAAAACACAAACACATCTACTTAACACCCCTAACAAACACAGATACGTCTGCTCAACACCCATAACAAACACATACATATCTACCCAACACCCATAATAAAACAATACACATCAATCGAACACTTCTAACAAAAACATATAGATTTATGAATCCAACACCCTTAACAAATACACTTCAACTTAACACTGTTAACAAACATACACATCTACCCAACACCACTAGCAAACACATACTCATCTACTCAACACACCTAACAAACACATACGTGTGTTCAACATCCCTAACAAACACATACATGTGTACTCAACATCCCTAACAAACACATACATATCTACTCAATACCCCTAACAAACACATACACATCTACTCAACACCGCTAACAAACACATACACTTGTACCCAACACCTTTAACAAACACATACACTTCAACTTAACTCCCCTAACAAACACATGCACGTCTACCCAACACTCCTAATAAACACATACACATCTACTCAACAACCCTATCAAACACATACACATCTACTCAACACCTCTAACAAACACATAAATGTGTACTCAACACCCCTAACAAACACATCTATGTCTACCCAACTCCCCAGCAAACAAATACATGTGTACCCAACACCCATAACAAACATATACACTTCAACTCAACACTGCTAAAAACACATACACATCTACTCAACACCCCTAACAAACACAGACATCTACTCAACAACCCTATCAAACAGATGCATGTCTGCTAAACACCCCTAACAAACCCATAAATGTGTACTCAACACCCTTAACAAACGCATACACATCAATCCAACACCTCTACCAAACACATACACATCAATCCAACACTCCTAACAAACACATACACTTCACCTTAACACGCCTAACAAACACATACACATCTATCCAACACTCCTAACAAACACATAGACATCTACTCAACAACCCTATCAAACACATACACATCTACTCAACATCCCTAACAAACAAATACACATCTAATCAACACCCCAACAGACACAAAAATGTGTACTCAACACCCTTAATAAACACATTCATGTCTACCCAACACCCCTAACAAACAAATACATGTGTACCCAACACCCCTATCAAACACATACACTTCAACTCAACACCCCTAACAAACACAAACACATCTAATCAACAACCCTATCAAACACATACACATCTACTCAACAACCCTAACACATACACGTCTACCCAACACCCCTAACAAACATATACACTTCAACTCAACACCCCTAAAAAATACATACTCATTGACTCAATAGTCCTAACAAACACATACACATCTACTCAACACCTCTAACAAAACACATACATGTCTACTCAACACCCCTAACAAGCACATACATGTCTACCCAACTCCCCTAACAAACACATACATGTGTACTCAACACCCCCCAACAAACACACACACATCTACTAAACACCACTAACACATACATGTCCTCAACAACCCTAACAAACACATACATGTCTGCTCAACACCCCTAACAAATACATCCATGTCTACCCAACACCCCTAACAAATGAATACTTGTCTACCCAACACCCCTAACAAACACATGCACATAAATCCAACACCCCTAACAAACACTTACACTTCACCTCAACACCACTAAAAACCACATACACATCTACTCAACACCCCTAACAAACACATACATATCTACTCAACACCCATAACAAACACATACACGTCTACCCAACACCCCTAACAAACACATAGACATCTGCTCAACAACCCTATCAAACACATACACGTCTACTCGACATCCCTAACAAACACATACAGATCTAATCAACACCCCTAACAGACACAAAATTGCGTACTCAACACCCTTAATAAACACTTTCATGTCTACCCAACACCCCTAACAAATACATGTGTACCCAACACCCCTAACAAACACAGACACTTCAACTCAACACCCCTAACAAACACACACACACATCTAATCAACAACCTTATCAAACACATACACATCTACTCAACACCTCCTAACAAACACAGACACTTCAACTCAACACCCCTAACAAACACACACACACATCTAATCAACAACCTTATCAAACACATACACATCTACTCAACACCTCCTAACAAACACATACACATCTACTCAACACCTCTAACAAAACACATGCATGTCTACGCAACACCCTTAACAAACACATCCATGTGTACCCAACTCCCCTAACAAACACATACATGTGTACTCAACACCCCTAACAAACACATACACATCTACTCAACACTCCTAACACATACATACATATCTACTCAACACCCATAACAAACACATACACATCTACCCAACTCCCCTAACAAACACATAAACTTCACCTCAACACCACTAAAAACCACATACACATCTACTTAACACATCTAACAAACACATACATATCTACTCAACACCCATAACAAACACATACAGGTCTACCCAACACCCCCAATAAAACATTCACATCAATCGAACACCCCTAACAAACACATACACATCTACTCAACACCGCTAACAAACACATGCACGTCTTTCAAACAGCCCTAACAAACACATACACATCTACTCAACAGCCCTAACAAACACATACACTTCTACCTAACACACCTAACAAGCACATACATCTGTACTCAACACCCATACCAAACACATGTATGTGTAGTCAACATCCCTAACAAACACATGCACGTCTTTCCAACAACCCTAACAATCACATACACATCTAATCAACAACCCTATCAAACACATACATGTTTACTCAACACCCCTAACAAACACATACACATCTACTCAACACCCCTAACAAACACCTAAATATGTCCTCAACACCCTTAACAAACACATCCATGTGTACCCAACACCCCTAACAAACAAATACATGTGTACCCAACACTATCAAACACACACACACACATCTACCCAACACCCCTAACAAACACTTACACTTCAACTCAACACCGCTAAAACACATACACATCTACTCAACACCCCTAACAAACACATAAATATGTACTCAACTCCCCTAACAAACACATACTTGTTACTCAACACCCCTGACAAACACATGCATGTCTACTCGACACCCCTAACAATCACATACGTGTACTCAACACCTGTAACATCCCCTTGCTTAAAGGGAAATTCCCAAAACTCACAATGATTTTAAATGATCTTTTTTCATGCACTCACACGATTGTCTACAATTTCTCTGATTGTAATCTTAAATATTTTGGCTGTTAAATATGGTGTTAACATTGGCTTGTTAACTAGTTTATCTGATCTCAGCAAACTTGTCACAAAGTTCTAATTCTGAAAGTATTAATAGATAAACCCATGTATTGTTCTAGTTTACGTTCTGTTGCACTTAATAACAACAGTTATCTTCATTTGAAAGAGTCAGGAAATCTACAGACAGAGAACTCTCTCAGGTACCATTAGGTCCAGTTTGTACAGATCTTGATCTCCAAAAAGCACCAAACTGGACCTTTCAGTACGGAACTTTCCACCACTTTCCTAGTGCTAAAGTTTCTGGTTCTTTGTACAGTGGAGAAATAGAGTTCATAGAGTTCTACTCAATCTCAATATTCACAGTTCCATTATTATTATTATTATTATTATTATTATTAGTGTATATTATAAAGTCATTAATCACCAACACACAAACACACAAGCACCTCACACTGCACCTCTCCTGCCAGACTGAAATAAAAATAAGGTAAATATTTATGAACTTACCCATGTGTGTGTGTGTGTGTGTGCGTGTGTGTGCGTAGCAGGGTGGTGGTCCGAGGGGTTTCTGCTCGGCTGCCTCTGATGTGGTGATAAAGTTACTCTCACACGTCTCTTTTAACGTTCTCACTCACGCTTTTGTTTCCGAGACAATAAACAGAACCCCACACACACACACACACACATATAAACATGAACACACACACAAACACACACAGACACACACTCACTCTGCACTGGGCAGGTCTTAAAGGCACAGTGTCTCTCTGTGTTTTACAGCTTCTGTGTTTCTGTTTTGCATTTCATTTATTCCACAAAACTCTTATACCTTAATTCCTTTACCCTTGACCCCTAAACCCTTTTACACTTATCCCCAACCCCTACACCCTTTTACACTTATCCCCTAACCCCTACACCCTTTTACACTTATCCCCTAACCCCTACACCCTTTTACACTTATCCCCTAACCCCTAAACCCTTTTACACTTATCCCCTAACCCCTACACCCTTTACACGTATCCCCTAACCCCTACACCCTTTTACACTTATCCCCTAACCCCTAAACCCTTTTACACTTATCCCCAACCCCTACACCCTTTTACACTTATCCCCTAACCCCTACACCCTTTACACGTATCCCCTAACCCCTACACCCTTTTACACTTATCCCCTAACCCCTAAACCCTTTTACACTTATCCCCAACCCCTACACCCTTTTACACTTATCCCCTAACCCCTACACCCTTTTACACTTATCCCCTAACCCCTACACCCTTTTACACTTATCCCCTAACCCCTAAACCCTTTTACACTTATCCCCAACCCCTACACCCTTTTACACTTATCCCCTAACCCCTACACCCTTTTACACTTATCCCCTAACCCCTACACCCTTTTACACTTATCCCCTAACCCATAAACCCTTTTACACTTATCCCCAACCCCTACACCCTTTACACGTATCCCCTAACCCCCACATTCTTTTCCACTTATCCCCTAACCCCTACACCCTTTACACGTATCCCCTAACCCCTACACCCTTTTACACTTATCCCCTAACCCCTACACCCTTTACACGTATCCCCTAACTGCTACACCCTTTTACATTTATCCCCTAACCAATACACCCTTTTACATTTATCCCCTAACCCCCACATTCTTTTCCACTTATCCCCTAACCCCTACACCCTTTTACATTTATCCCCTAACCAATACACCCTTTTACATTTATCCCCTAACCCCCACATTCTTTTCCACTTATCCCCTAATCCCTACACCCTTTTACAATTATCCTCTAACCCCTACACCCTTTTACACTTATCCCCTAACCCCTACACCCTTTTACACTTATCCCCTAACCCCTGCACCCTTTTACATTTATCCCCTAATCCCTACACCCTTTTACATTTATCCTCTAACCCCTACACCCTTTTACACTTATCCCCTAACCTCTACACCCTTTTACACTTATCCCCTAACCCCTGCACCCTTTACATTTATCCCCTAATCCCTACACCCTTTTACATTTATCCTCTAACCCCTACACCCTTTTACACTTATCCCCTAACCCCTACACCCTTTTACATTTATCCCCTAACCCCTACACCCTTTACACTTATCCCCTAGCCCTTACACCCTTTACACTTATCCCCTAACCCCTACACCCTTTTACACTTATCCCCTAACCCCTACACCCTTTTACATTTATCCCCTAACCCCTACACCCTTTACACTTATCCCCTAACCTCTACACCCTTTTACATTTATCCTCTAACCCTACACCATTTTACACTTATCCCTTGACCCCATATCCGTTTTCCTTTCTATCCTTACCACTAACCCGTACACCCTTTTACACTTATCCCCTAACCCCTACACCCTTTTACACTTATCCCCTAACCCCTAAACCCTTTTACACTTATCCCCTAACCCCTACACCCTTTTACACTTATCCCCTAACCCCTACACCCTTTTACACTTATCCCCTAATCCCTACACCCTTTTACACTTATCCCCTAACCCCTACACCCTTTTACACTTATCCCCTAACCCCTACACCCTTTTACACTTATCCCCTAACCCCTACACCCTTTTACACTTATCCCCTAATCCCTACACCCTTTTACACTTATCCCCTAACCCCTACACCCTTTTACACTTATCCCCTAACCCCTACACCCTTTTACACTTATCCCCTAACCCCTACACCCTTTTACACTTATCCCCTAATCCCTACACCCTTTTACACTTATCCCCTAACCCCTACACCCTTTTACACTTATCCCCTAACCCCTACACCCTTTTACACTTATCCCCTAACCCCTACACCCTTTTACACTTATCCCCTAATCCCTACACCCTTTTACACTTATCCCCTAACCCCTACACCCTTTTACACTTATCCCCTAACCCCTACACCCTTTTACTTTATACCCTAAAGCCTAAGCACTATTTCACTAACCCCTATACACTATTTCCTTTATACACTTACGCTTATCCCCATACCCTATTTACCTAATCCCCTAATCTGTTTACCCTGTTTCTTTTGTTCTATAGCCTCTACGCCACACTTTCTTTATCCCCTAACCCCTATCGCCCATTTCCTTCATACTCTAATCCATACCCTCCATTTCCTTTGCCCTTTACCCCATATCCTCTTTGTCTTATCCCCTTATATAATTATCCTATAGGCCCTATACTTTATTTTAACATTCCTTAACCTAGATTTCCTTAATTATTATGCTTTAATATAGTATATATTAGCAAATGAATACATCTTGAATGTAGTCAGTGTGTCTAGTATTTCTCATTATCAGCCTGAAAGAACATATTATAAAATTATTCCACCTGTTTCTGTATATTTTTACTTTAAAGTGATTTTACATGGTAAAAGTTTCTTATTCCATCAGCAGATTCTGATAATTATTTTGAGAAATAATGATTGACAGAATAAGACCATAAAATTACTTTAAACAAGTAATACAAAGTCTATACACAGGTTTTGATCTTGCAACAGTCTCATTATGAGAAATATATAGAGATATAGAGATACTAGAATTTTCACTTGCTTAGATGTCATTTTTTCAGCGTGAGCTTTGTTTCCTTTATTTCCTAACCTTGTTTCTGTGTCCTTCATTTGCTCTGTCCTGACCTCGTCACCCTGTTTGTCCTCTTACCTCTGACACAGCTGTCATCCTCTGTCTCTGTTCAGATCATTTTTAAACCTGATACTGATTTTGAACCTAATCTCTTTCTGTCTCGTTGCACAGACAACACTCATACACGCCTGTTGACCTGGTTGGATGTGGCCGAGCAGGTTTTGGTCCTTTTGGTCCTTCCTGTGTCTCTTGGCTCTGAGCTTCACTGACATGGTGGAACAGTTATTCTGATTTATGGAGAATGTGTTGTTCATGGTTCTAAATAACAACAAAAAAGGCTCTTCTATTGTTAAAAGCTTGACATCGTAACAATAGAAGAACCTTTCTGGTGCTACATAAAACCTTTTCAAAAAGGTTCTACATAAAACCATATAAAACATTCTCCATCAATCTGAAGAACCGTTTCACTACGCAGAGAACCCTTTAGGCATGCAAATGGTTCTATGAGGGTTCATGGTCCTACATAAAAGCATTGGCTGTGTTTCCATTGAAATATTTCACAAATGTCATGCGCATTTATGAAATTCCAGCAAGAATAAAGTGACATAAGTCGTGTTTCCATCCACTGCAGTTCTGTGAAGAGACTTTAGACGACAATGCTGTCGTGATTAGAGGCATTGAAACGAGCGAGATGAAGGAATTTAACTCAGTTTCTGCTTTAAGTTGAATCATTTTTACAGCTGTTTGTCGTCTTTTTATGGTCGTGTTGTTTGCAGCTCAGAGACGCTGGGCAGGATGAGCAGTGGCCAGTTAATGAGGGCTGAAATCTCCATGGCCCCCCAAATAAAGTCCGCCTCACATCTGGGAACCAAACACACCAGACATTTCTGGAGCTCAGTGTGCAGGAACATTTCCCAAATCAGCTTTAATCGGAATGTTTCAGAAAAGTTCTGTGCTGTGATTGGATTATCTGTAGGCCAATCGCTTCTCACGGACAGCCTGATACGTCACCATTTGTTCAAAAAACGCTTTATCGCATTTCAGCTTTAGCGAGATTCTCATTTTTCTACCTCGTCTTAGAATAGAACTCTTTTTGTGATATCTGGGTGTTTTTTAAACACATTCAGGTATTTTTTGTGCATTTTCAAAACCGTCCGATGGATGGAAAACCCACTGTTGTCTTTGCTAAAGAAAACAAATGCACGACTCTTTGCAACAGTTACACGACTCTTAAGTGAGAAAGAAAAGGAGTCAGCGTTTTCTGATTGACAGGAACCTGAAAGTGCAGACAAAGTAAATTTAATCTGATTTACTGTGTGTGAGTGTGAGTGTGTGTGTGTGTGACTGTGTGTGTGTGACTGTGTGTGTGTGAGTGTGTGTGTGTGAGTGTGTGTGTGTGTGTGTATATGTGTGTGTGTGTGTGTGTGTGTATGTGTGTGTTGGCGTGTCTGTGAATGTATGTGTGTGTGACAGTGTGTGTGTTTGTGAATTTGTGTGTGTTTAAGAGTATGTGTGTAAGAGAGAGAGTGTATGTGTGTGTGCATGCATGCGTGTCTGTTAATGTGTGTGTGAGAGTGTGTGTGTGTGTGAGAGATTGTGTGAGTGTGTGTGTGTGTGTGAGAGAGTGTATGAGTCTGTGTGTGTGTGTGTGTGTGAGTGTGTGTGTGTGAGTGTGTGTGTGTGTGTGTATATGTGTGTGTGTGTGTGTGTGTGTATGTGTGTGTTGGCGTGTCTGTGAATGTATGTGTGTGTGTGAGTGTGTGTGTTTGTGAATTTGTGTGTGTTTAAGAGTATGTGTGTAAGAGAGAGAGTGTATGTGTGTGTGCATGCATGCGTGTCTGTTAATGTGTGTGTGAGAGTGTGTGTGTGTGTGAGAGATTGTGTGAGTGTGTGTGTGTGTGTGAGAGAGTGTATGAGTCTGTGTGTGTGTGTGTGTGTGAGAGTGTGTGAGTGTGTGTGTGTGTGTGTGTGTGTGTGTGTGTGAGAGAGTGTGTGAGTCTGTGTGTGTGAAAGAGTGTATGTGTGTGTGGGTGTGGGTGTGGGTGT